TTTCCTTTAAAGTCAATAGAAGTAACTTACCCAGTAATTAAGATGATTTATCAGCCATTGCTTTCAACTGTTTTAGACAATTTATCATAATTCTGAATTGAAAAGCAGGCATGATATACTTTGTGTTTTAAAATTTGGTGACTCAAGAATGAGCTGTTAAATTATAAATGCTGTCTTACGGTATGTTTCCTTTATAAAGTTGCGTAAGAATTCCAAGTTACAAAGACAGTGAAGACCAAGGAATGACATGTAAAATTTTAATTGGGTGGAAAAGTGTTTCCTATTTTAGAACGGGCATAACCTAATGCTGAACTAGTGAACTCTTAAGAAAAACAATGAATTGTTTTTCAACGCTTTGTGTCCAAAGACTATTAATCATATGGCTGTCAAATGGCTGGTGCTATCCTGCCAATAACATAGCTAAAATAATAATTGGTTTGATAAACTTATTTCAGTTATAAAATTGGTCACTGGTTAATTAAATACAGGTAGTTCTAAAACTACTGATTGATATAATAAGCACCTTTTTCTGTATAAAATAAAAGGCAGTGTTTTCACTGGAAAATAGAGTAGTATAAGACATATTGCCAACTTTAAGGATGGAAAATTTATTTAGAGAGACAAAGCATATATCTTTGAAAGCCAAATAATATTATATTCATGTCTATAAGAAAGTAGTGCAACACAAACCAAGATACACATAAATGAGAATAGAAACTCCTGAAATAACAGGTCAATCCCACTCCCATAATTTTTCCTATACCCCGAGGACTGCCTGAAAATTTCACTCAGAAAACATAATGCAAGATAATAAGACTGCTGTAAGAATAATCCACATTCACCACAAGTTATAAACAAAACATCACTATTTTATTCATAGTAATTATGAGCTATTCATTCTTTTCAATGTTATAATAGTTAATAAAGCTGTAGACTGCCCAATAAGGTGGTCATGAACCACATGTGGCCACTGAGTTTTAGAAATTTGGCTACTCCAAGTTAAGATGTATAAATAAGTGTAAAATATGTGTGGGTTTTGAAGACAATATAAAAAAGTGTGAAATATTAATATTCTTATATTGATTATGAGTTTATATGATAATTTGGACATCTCAGTGAAATAAAATTAAAATTAATTTTATCCCTTTTTTATTTTTTACTATGGCAACTAGAATATTTAAAATTACATGTATGTGGCTTGTATTATATTTCTGTTGAGCTGCACTACTATAAAAGTTCTACTTGAATTTAGAGACAAGAACTTACTGTAAGGTTATAAAATTTTAAGAAAGTATCTGTGTGAAAAGGATTTTGTTCCTAAAATGTGACTGAATGCATCATTATCTAGTCTCTGCTTACAAACATTTAGCATTACTTTAAAATCAGTGTGTTTTAAAAAAATTACAATCCTAATCAGATGTTCTTATATAAGCCTAAAATTTAGGCTCCAAATAATTTTTGCCCACTGATTTTAGTTAATCACTTTGAAACCACACAAGATAAAACTACTCAAATTCTTAATCTTCATAATTTTTTTTAACAAAATGCACGGTAGTCTTTTATTGGAAAATCCAGATCCTACACATTGAACTAAAGAAGTCTAAGTTTCCATTATCTTGCCCGAATAATTAGTTATTCATTTTTTGGTAGTCTCTCCCAAAGCTCTTTTTACATCTTTCCTCTTTTTTATGTTTACCTGGTGGTATCATGTTCCTTAATATTTGGGCAGCAGTTAACATACATACTCATATAATGCTAACCAGTCAGGTCTTTTGAAATTTCTACATGGAAATTGTGTTATTTAAAATTCCATGTCACTAAAAAAGCTCCTTGAAATGTCTATTTTGGCTCTCAATTATTAGTCTTTTGTTCACTTATTTTTTCAGGAAACATTTACTTGTGAATATTTACTATGTACCAGGAATGGCTCTAGGTTGAACATGAGGAACGCAACTCCATAGGATGTCTAGGCAACACACCCCACTCACTGTACCTGTTGTATGCCTTTTCTGTCTCCAAATAATTCCTGATTAAAAAAAAAAAAAAACAAAAAACTGCACACTGTAAACTAAATGCAAGGCCATGATACCACTTTCTATATCGCTGCAGATAAATTAATTAGTAGTTTTGTTCTTCAGAATTATATAACTCTACCAAACTGGAATCTAAAATCCTCCATATTCACCATTACAATGTTATGATTTCGTCAAATCCCTTGGTAAAATAAAGACTCATTATATCAATAAGCATTTATTTTATCCTTTAAAACTATAGATTTCAAGGGAGTAAGGGTTTGAACTGAGCCAATGGATGATTAGGATTTTGAGAGGAAAAAAATAAGACCCAAGATTTATAGAGCATGTATTTATATTGGATGAATGCATAGAATTTTGAGAGAAAATAATAGTCAACATTTATTAAGCTTTTATTGTATACCAGACACCATTCTAACATATTTGATCTTAGTAACAGCCCTATGAGGTAGATATTCATCTTATCTCCATGTTATAAAGAAACTGAGGTTCAATGAGGATAAATAACTTGTCTAAATTCCCTCAGCTAGCAAATGGTAGAGCCCAGATTCAGTCCATGCATTCTCATACAGAAGTTTATGTTCTTCACCAGAAGATGAAAAGTATTCTAAGGGCATTGAAGGAGGCGTAACAGAAGGTCACCAAATGACCCGCAAAAAAAGGTCTATATTAGGAACACTTAAATAAGGCTGGAAAGTCTTTGGGGCAAGATTAGGGGAAGCCTTGACTGCTGTGCTGGAGTTTGGACTTTATTTATACTCAGTAGATGCAGAAGGTTGTTCAGCAAATAAATAGCATAATGAAAGAAAGGTTTTTGAAACATAGTAAGCTGATCATTGGGCACAGGCTGGAATTGGTTTGACTGAAAGGAGATTTTACATCTGTTCAAAGCTTATTGCTTTAGTTTTGTGTGAGGACCAGGAACAACGATGGAGCCTCTGGGAATACAAAGCAAGTGGATCATAGCAAGTCAATTGACTCTTGATATTTGTTAGACATTAGAGTGAGATATTAAAAAATAACATGACTTATGTTTTACATCTGAATGACTGAGAGAAATGGTCTTCTATTAACAGAACTACGGAATTTAGTATTGTAAGTAGTTTGGGGAAAAGATAATGAACTCCATACTACAAATGTCAAACTTCAAGTGAAAATTCAGCTGGCTATTGGAGAGTCTAGATGGGAATTCAAAAGTGAGATAACAGCTTAGGGTGAAGATTTGGAACATATAAAATATTGTTAAATTCATAGAAAATTGTATCTTAAATTCATAGAAGTTAAATTCATGGAGAGAGAAGCTAGAGAAGAAGCAGTGGAATAAAACAGGTAAATCTGACTGCAAATAGACCTATGTTCTTCTGACATCCAAGTACACAATAGAAGTTATTTTAAGTGTGATGTATCATTATATATTCACAAAATCACATAGAACAGTTGCTTTCATTAAATATTAGCAAATGTTTACAGCCATTTAATAACAAAATATTACCAAATTGATAATTATTCAGTTATAATTCTAAAGGATGTTAATCTTTTTACTTTTACCATGTAAACAATGTATGATTTTAAAGTACAATAATTGCTAATAATACAGAAATTGAAACTTTAAGCATGTTTATAGCACTACCAATCTATATTGGTTCAAATAACTCATATTTCAAATGGCAAATGATCATTAGGTTTTAAAAACTGTTACCATAATAGGTCACTTAAAATTATAAATCCTTTCATGGGTGTGTAGAAGTACCTAGAAGATATGTGGTTATTCATGTTGCATATGAGAATCATGTCATCATGAATAGCATTTGATTATTCACTTCTTCAGTAGTGACAGATTATTACCTTTAGATATTTAGTTTTTCTTTTACTCTTATCCGCATTGTCCACAAGAAATTGCCATCTAATAAAAATTCAACCTCTGCCTGGGAATGTGACTGGGGAAGGGTAGGTGGGGACCAAACTTGGTGAAAGTAATCGTCCTGGCATAAGACACAGGGGTCATTACTGAATTGGTTTTACAAAAGTAAAAAGTTTTAGCTCTGAAAGCAAATCAGAACTCTGTATGTCAACTGTGGGTTTTCAAAAGCTATCACATATAAAATATTTTCTAGTGTTTTAATGGAAAGAAATACAGCATAAAGGTTGAGAGAGCATCGATGTATTTTATTAACAGAATTTAATAACTAAATCTTGCCCACTTTTTTGAATATATATTTGATGTTCCATGTCTTTTCACTTATCACTCCTTTTCAAGGGTTTTGTTTAGAAAGTCAAAGGATTTTAAAGTTTTTTGAGATCATGGTCATTATCAATTCAAAAGTAAAGAAACTTTGATGTTTCCAAGGTTGAAAAGTATAGATTCTTTATGTGAAATATATTAGGTTCATTTGTTTGAATTTATTTGCATCACCAACAAAACTGTTCCTAAGGCAAGTTAATGGCATTGTTTGTCTTAGAAGAGCATGCTTGTCAATTGCGCTGTGCTAAAAATGTCATTTAAAACATCTGAGCAGATTGCCATGTAGTTTTTCTAGGGATAAGATGACAGTTCTGCATTTCTACCTGAGGTTACTGTTATTTGATGAATGAGGCAATTTCTGATGAGGCATATTTAACCAAATGTATTTATATCAGAATATTTAAAATAAGATCAAATTTGACTTTAGAATATTAAGAATTAGCCCATTCAAATGTATCTGTAAATTGACTGTTGTTGATATCACCAAATGATGAATTGTACTATCTTGCATGTATGTTCAGCTCTGGTGATGTTAAATGTTTCCCCTTATTTGCATCCTCAAGTACTTTTCCAGTTGTATTTCAAAACCCTTCATAAAACATAATATGGAAACATAATGCATGTGATTAGTTTAGCAACAGGAGGTTGAATAAATGTATTTCTTTTGGTTTATGTTTCTAATAAAAAGTAATTTTGATTTAAATTAGCACTATCTTTTTTTTTAGGCCTCCATTCCTTTGAAGGAATTGGAGCAGTTTAACTCAGATATACAAAAATTGCTTGAACCACTGGAGGCTGAAATTCAGCAGGGGGTGAATCTGAAAGAGGAAGACTTCAATAAAGATATGGTAAATTGGTTGTGATAAAAGTGTGAATGAACTAGGAGTGGAAATAAATATTTGGAAAGAAATTATATAACCCAAGTCTCCAACTGAATTTTCAGAAAACATCTTACACATTTTATGATTCTAATGATTTTATAAATGCAGAGTATTCTTGTTGACCTTTTATTATGAATGCTGAGTTACTATGGTATGGTAATATTGGAGCACTTACGGTTTCTAATAAACAGCTCAGCAATTTTCTTTTGACCTGTCCTACTTTTGAACTTATCAAGGGCAAAATGTAATTGGAAAACAGGAGTCAAATCATAAAATAAACTAAACATTTAATAAAATACTCAACTATCATAGATGACTGACATTTTGTATCAGCAATGTTTTTGGTAGTATAACATTTTTTTCAATGAAGAGGGAATAATGCATAGTATGAACATTGTTTATTACAATTTCACACAAAGTTGTTTTACCAAATAGTTGATTAGTTAGTATATGTCTAAAATTTGTATAAATTTATGCTGCTTATTTCATGGGAGTAAAGAAATATGATCATGTGGGCTATTCCCAACCTCAGAATATTCTCCTTCAGTCCCAACTAATTTCAAAATACCTACTATATTTCTCTCTGGCTTGAATATTTTTATATCACATCCTTATTAACTGACTTTTGTTTCTCTCTTCATCCTCCTTTTCACAGTTTTTCCCCTCTTCCACTGCCATCACCTCTGTGGCATTCTTAACCTTTACATTTATCAGTGCTAGAGCCTTCTCAGACAGTGCTTGAAAGTGACATCAGAAGGCAATATATAAATTTTAGGTAATAAGTGTGAAGCAATAGGAGAACTATTCCCACCAATCTTAGTTCCCACTTCCTGGAGCTGCCTCAGTCAGTACTCCCCATGTATGGGGTTTGGTGGCCTTGCCAACTTAGCTTGTGGAAAGAAAGAAGAGGCTTTCTAAGTTGCTGAGTTACAGCAATCTCTACTTCAGGTCAAAGAAGAAACCAGAGGGCACCAAGATGAAAAAAAGTACTGCTTACCTCTTGGGCTGACCACCAACTGCCCTAGAGCCCTCAACTGGTATAGGGAAAGAAGTGAAGTGGGTTTTTAAATTTTTTTGTTTTTGTTTTTGTCCCCAGTCTTAGAAAATGCTACAGACTTTTACAGTACATTTTAAAATAAGTGAAGTCTTTCACAGACTTTAAGTATATAATGTGCCTATATGATGATAAGTATATAATGTGTCTATATTATGCTGTACATTTCTTTAGATTATTGACCAGTCTCTGACAAAAATAATCCCATTCCCCCATACAAAATGAATAAGTCCTCAGTTGTGTGTTGAAGTTTGTACATTATAGATTTAAATATATAATATGTAATTCCTTGAATTGTAATACACACACACAAATACATGTGAGTTTTGAAATTTATTATTTGTTTTTCTTATGTCAACAGTGTACCTTAAGTACCATTACATGGTGAGACAACTTGATATAAAGTTTTCACATTTTGAGTTGAAAGACAGAAAACTAAAGGTGAAAAATCACGTGGCCATATATGTGACTGTATTAGACCAGCATTTATTCAAAACATTTTGTTTCGAAGTAAAGAAAATTAAGATATTGTTCTTGCAGTCTAAAGGAACAAAATACCCATTGAAAATGTTTACAGCCATTTTCCAATCCGTATTTTAATGTTTTTTGATCATATTTATTTAAAATTAACATGCATATATGAGATATTTTAGTAATTATTTTATGGTAATTTAACACATCATTTTTATTAATATCTTGATATTTCTCCTATTGGGCATGTAGGTTTCAGAAATGAAGCAGTAATTATTAGATAGGAATTAGTGTACATTTAAAACAAAATAGTTTCATGTAGTTGTGTGTTAATATTTTCAGATCTGCTGTTATCTCAGTCACAAATACACATCTGTATTCCTTTATGGATCAGTTAACATTATAAAAACATTAGCTCATTTCTCTAATTTTTTAATTTCTAGAACTACACTAAAAAAGCCAAAAGAATACTTTCACAGTAATTCATGACTTGTCTGACATGATGAAGTACCACACTCCCCCATCTTTCTACAGGTGCCCCTAAAAATGTGTTCTTTACAACTAGATGGGAGGAAACTAATTTTAAAACCTAAAGTACAAAATGTAAAAGAAAGGCTATGAGCACAGTATCTTATAACATTCCATGAAAGTTTTAAATTGGATTTTTTTGTGTGTGTTTAAATAACATGTCTTATTATCTCTGTTAACAATGTACAGCTTTTTAAAAACAAAAATGAAGACTGTACTTGTTGTTTTTAATCAGAATGAAGACAATGAGGGTACTGTAAAAGAATTGTTGCAAAGAGGAGACAACTTACAACAAAGAATCACAGATGAGAGAAAGCGAGAGGAAATAAAGATAAAACAGCAGCTGTTACAGACAAAACATAATGCTCTCAAGGTATTAGAGCTAAAATTATAATATACCTTGCCTGTGGTTTTTTTTAATATATAGGGTAAAATATATTGTGCATTAATAAAATCTGCTTAAGACTCTTAGTCATCAGAAATTCACTTTTTCTGCTCAACATGTGTGCTTTATTTAACATTTTTGAGTGGTGTTTGATTTTGAAAGATGTGTTGCTTAAAAATTATGACTTTTTAAAGACAGATTTTTCTAAGTAGTACTCGAAAGATGGAATTGCATTCATAGTACTTATACATTTAATCTTCTATTATGCTTTATTTTTATCAGTTACTTTATATTAAAAAAAACCTGCCTAACTGCCAGAATAACCAATCTACATGTATCCATTATTCCTACTTTCTTTACTTAATTGATTTTATTTGCAATAAGTCCAATTTTTTGGTAACCTGATACTTGTTTAATAAGCCCTGGATTCTTTTCATTTATTTATTTTTAAAACTTTCTTACGCCTTTAAGAAAGTCACTCTTTGCAACTCACTATCTACAAAAGTCAAATTTCATTTATATAGGAATCCTCAAAAATAATCTTACAGCCTTTGAATAAGAACGGCTACTTTCATATTAGGCAGTGTAGTGTATGGCTTCAAGTCCCCACGTGACTCATCTGGATTGTGCAGGAAGAGCAGGATAAACTTAATTTTTCTATAACAGTATCTAGGAAGTTCTCGAGAGTAGACAAGTAGAAAGTTTTGTGAAAGAACCTTTTTTTTTGTATATGCTTTGCAATAATCACTATTTGCATGCATGGCTGATTTTCTAATACTGTTCATTGCTGAGCTTTTCATTGTAAATCACTCTTTGGAGCTATGTAGTTATGAAGATGGGTCCACCTAGTAGGTAGATGGAGTCTGCTTTCTACATGCAAATAAGAGAATAAAACCTTTCTCCCTATAGTCAACCAAATAAACACTGCTGAGAATGTAATTACACAATATTGTGCCTGCAAGGAATCCACAAGGAAAATCTAATTGGCCAGCAGGTGTTCTGAAGGTAACTGCTGATAAATATAGTAAACAGAAAAGGCCTCTTCCTCAAGGGAGTGCAAAAGCACACCGTAATGTGTCTAGAAAATCAGAACGCTATGTAACTCACACCCTTCCAACTGTGAGCAAGCTTTCAGAAGTATCTACACTGGTAGTACGATGGCATGTGTCCTACTGAATAGCAGTGTTTAATGGTTATCTGGCATTCCTCTAAAGAAATCTACATGACGTCTCTAAATATTTTACATATTATGCATCACTTTGTGCCTAGGAAATGAAAGATGTTTCAGATTTATGACCACCAAGCCCTTTCTCTTGGCAAAGATGTGAGTTATGTCACAAATAAGGCATGGCTCAACTCTAATTCACGTGGCTGTATCTTGTTACCTTTGAAAAAAGCAGCATTCGATCTGACTCCTCAGAAGGTTTGAAAATTCAACATAAAATGAAAAGTACAGCAAGTTTTAAATCCCCAATTTTAAACAAACTTGATAATGAAATATAGGTCATTCTTGCAAATATAGGCTATAAGTGATTAATCAAAGTCATCAACCCTACTTGCCAAACCAGTCTATACCAACATATTCAATAACTTTTTAAACCTGTCAAATGGTTCGAATTCTGGTCCTTACGAAATATTTTAGAGAAGGTCAAAACTTTCCAACGCAATGAAATTTTTAGAAGTTTTCTGATATTTATTTTTTTTAGCTTGAATTAAACCTGTGAATAAAACCCTAATTGCTAATTTCTGTAGAAATGAAAGCTGCATGCAGAGCTTATGTTCCCATGAATTATAAAATGGCATTTGACTAATTCTATTAATCACAGAAGATATTGTGTGTGCTCGCAAAGAGCATGATGACTGATTTCCCCCCATTGTAGATTTATTAAATTAGTCTTATCACATTGATTTGAAAGATGCACTTGCTGTTTTCTTTTTTCAAACAGTTAATTGTTTTGCATTTAGAGCATGATTTGGTACAGTAAGATAAATTTGGCTATGCAAGCCTTGGAAGGAGAAGCATTTGTCTAACATAATTTTTTGTTAGTTATGTTCACAAATATATGAACAATGGTGACACTTATACAGCTTGGAACAGTTTATAAGAGAACTAAAATGGCTTTATATTTCTAATAATCAAATATTAATGGCCTATGAAATTCTTATGTAGGCACTTCTACAAACATGAATATATGTTGGTTGAGTACATAAAGTTCTGTTGATGAGTCCCAAGGCTAAAGATATACATTTTAGAATTTTACCTATTTTAAGTCAAATACAAACTCACTAGGTCTGTGAGTTTGTATCTAGTTAAGTCAATTGTATTCGTATGTTACACTCTTTCATATAAGCTACACAACAATTAGCTTGTTAAGAGTCAATTAAATGTGACAAGATTTTTAAGCAAGTTTGAACATGGTAAGAGAATATACTTTAAGTGTGTTATTCAGGTTTCTTAGCTTCTTATACGTGGGTCCTGCCTCATGAATACACAATTAAGTCTTTGTATATTTTGCATATAAATATGAAGCTAACCTAAGTTGTACAAAAAGATGAGGGACACAAATTATTTTGATAAATAACTGCAGCCAGAAGTGCACTATACATATATATTGATATTTTAATAATGTCTGCACCATGAACAGGATTTGAGGTCTCAAAGAAGAAAAAAGGCTCTAGAAATTTCTCATCAGTGGTATCAATACAAGAGGCAGGCTGATGATCTCCTGAAATGCTTGGATGACATTGAAAAAAAATTAGCCAGCCTACCTGAACCCAGAGATGAAAGGAAAATAAAGGTAATGTTGTTTTAGAATGTCAATACCAGATTTTATTATACAGTTTAACCTGTGAAGATCATGTTTAAAATGTTGATGTTCTTGTTTCTATTAATGGTCTCTTTGATTTGATGCATTTCTTTGTATTCTGTGTTGTTTTCAGTAAATGTATTAAGTGTTATTCAGTTGACATAATGTTGAATGAATAAAATGTTTTACTTTCAGACTATGTAAAATGATTTAAGAAATGTGATGTGTTTTCTGGTAAAATTGTAATTGACTTTGTGTATCTTTGTTCCAGATGAACTAATGACTTATCGGTATATGGACGACTTCTTACTCATGTTAGCACATTCATTTCATCAGAGCATCTTCTCACATCAGTGTTAAATCTCTATAGATTTATTTGCTTATTGTCTAAATATGTTTTTTCTGTTATTTTACACTTTTTATTTTGCTTCGTTCTTTGTTGAGTTCCTCAAACCTTTAAAAAGGAAATAAATGACTTATTCACTTACCCTCTAAATTATATTCTATGTGGATGGTCCCTAATAAATAATGAGTTATCACTCCAAATCGATTCAAATCCCAAGACACCAGAGGAATTTAGAAGAAAGAAAATGTTAGACCAATTTAAATATTTACTTAATTAGAATGTCTAAAACCAAGCATTCAAAGGATAACAAATAATATTTGGATTATTGAACGAGGATGACAGTCATGCCTTTCATATTTGTAAATTTCAAAGGCTGACAATAAAGGGACAACAGCCTTTAAAATTTCTGAGAGAAGTATTTGCTGCTTGCAAGTCGGTTGATATGGTTAGCTAACTGCCCTGGGCCCTGTATTGGTTTTGCTCAATAGGAAATTGATCGGGAATTGCAGAAGAAGAAAGAGGAGCTGAATGCAGTGCGTAGGCAAGCTGAGGGCTTGTCTGAGGATGGGGCCGCAATGGCAGTGGAGCCAACTCAGATCCAGCTCAGCAAGCGCTGGCGGGAAATTGAGAGCAAATTTGCTCAGTTTCGAAGACTCAACTTTGCACAAATTGTGAGTTGTTACTGGCAAACCTACGTATGTGTTTGCAACTACTACTCTATTAACAGAGGCCTACTAATAAAAAAGAGACAAAAAATCTGGGTGCAATTTTAAACTTCTAATGTACATTCTGAAAGTGAGTAGTTTCCCTCACTTTGGGCTTCTGTAACACTAGTGCTTAATTTTACAGATTAAAGACACAAGAAGTTAACAGATAATAGGAAAAACCCCTTATCAAAAATGAAAATACATCTTAATTTTTTTTGCTACATCATTTTTCATAACATTGACAATGTTAATTTGTCAATTTATCATACATTCACTTTACTTCAGTGTCTAATCCAAAAAAAATATGTATTGCTTTCCTGAGATCATCCCATGCTGATTTTACTTTCTTAATGTATACATGATAAATAATAAATATTTTGTGGTACATCTTATGTCAACCTGCATAAGCCATTATCTCATTGACTTGAAGAATAATAACTTGGTCCTCACACCTGGTTTGACTACTTAATGGGCTACAGTGCTCATAAAAGAACTGGATGCCTAGTAAGATGGTTGGTAATTGATTGCAGATTGAACAATATCAGATAATGTTATTACTGAAATGTTCCCAGCCAAAACAAAAAGGAGTGACTGCTCTTCTTTCAGACAACTGAATGGAATGTGTATGGTTATCTCTTTAAAAAGGCAATTCAGAATTGTTAGCTTGGTCTCAGTTCTTTATTTGTAATAGGCTATAAACCATAGAGGTTTTCTGACAGGTGTATTTTTGTTCCTATTAACTGTTGTAAGATGAAGAGGAATGATCGTCATCTGTAATTATACAAGAAAGTACTACTCCTCACAAAACCAGGAAGTCAAAGTCTGGAAACTAAGGCTTTATAGTTAAGTTAGGTGGAATTATATGAATCAAACAGATACTCAACCATTTTGCCCTATATAAATAACAACTGCATAGAGTTCAGCCTATGTATGAGACTTCTTGGGAACTTCTGTGATACTGTCAGTTCCATTTAATTTGGTGTATATTTTTAAAATGTCAAAGGCAATTACCATAACTTTATTTTATAAACATATAAGGGAAGTATGTTGCGTATTATCGTGACTTCTTTTTATACTTCAAGAAAATTCATAAATACACTGTTTTCTGTTAAATCTAATACCCTAAAGTTGAATATCAGGTGAATATTCTGAGCAATTGGAAGAATACAAGGAATATTGAAACTGTATTGCATGTGAAGTCTAATTCCACCTGGCTGAATGTTTCAGCCTATTATCCTTCATATTAGATGTTATGAACGTAATGTGTCATACATAACCTTATACTAATCAGCAAGCCTGTGTCTGTAGATGCAGTATGAAGCGAAAGATTGAGGCAATCAAAAAGAAAATTCTAGTAAAATAGTTTCACCTCAATTTAATAGATCATTCAAGGGGAAGTCTTTGCTTTGGATTATCTGACAACTAACTCAATTCTCCATTCCAATTTTCCCCATGTCTTGACACACCCAATATGCAGGTTTAAACTTCGTTGCAAACTAATCAAGTTACCAATGCTTTATAGCTAAATAGGCACAAGATCAAAAATCTCCCTAAACCGCTTACTTCAAATGCCATTATGTCCCTATTCATAGTAGACTCTCAACAAATATTTGTACAATGTAATAATGATTGGTGAAATAAAGGAAGCATATGTGAACCAGTATATATTTTTAAAAAATTATAGTAAAATTATAGGATGTATTTTCCTCATAAATGATTTCTTCTTAAATTTTATACATTAAAGATACAAAATTCAGAATGTGAAGGGGGCTATTTTTGTGTTAATTCTTAATTATCCATGATAATAAAGTGATCACAATATGTATGAAGAATAATCAATTTAATATCACAGTTATATTTGGCATTGGATTTTAATTAGAACTGAAGGATAATTGATAGATGACAAATAGGTATATAGGTTGGTAGGTAGATGGACAGGTGGATGTAGAAATATTCAAGATGTATCTTTATACTTTACCAATTGTCAATGCATTTTGAAACTAATTTCACTGTGGCCACTGATTAGAGTTATCTCTCTCAATTCTTATGCACTAGAGTCATTTGTGGTAGTCACAGTAAGCAGAGTAATGAAAAGTAGTATTTGATATAACCTTACAATGGCTCTGATGCAACATATGCCATAGCTTCAGAATTTCTTACTTCCCCCTGTATTCTCCTTCTCTAATTTTTTGATTTTTATTTTTCCTGAGTGTCCCTTTCTGTTTTCTTTTCTAGATATAAACTCTAGGCTTAAAGTTAATCTTTCATATCTTTACAGCAACAATTTGAAATAGTAAGCGGTACTCCTAAAGTGCTTAGTATGTGAGAGCTGAGTGAGTTTAAAATGAAAAATTAATTTTCCTTATTTCACAGATACTCAGAGAACTGCTAAACACTGTAAAATTAAGGCATTTAGGAGACTCTGTCCATGTCAGAGCTCTATATGGTAGTAATAAAGCTCAGAAAAGGACTGAGACTTTGAGGGAACAATCATGAGGAGGCGTCCAGCCACACAGGAATGCAGACCAAAGCATAGTAGAGGGTATCTGCAAATTATGGTCCTCAGGGCAAACCTGAAGATAATAAAGAAGAGGCAGGAGACTGGGAGGAAGCAGGTAAAAATTTTTACCAGATATTCACAATGAGAAAACTTCTGCCTTAGTTAGGAATTCCAAACATTTCTAATGTATTTCCTGTTGGTTTAGAAACTAGGTACCTCAGTTAAGACCAAACACAGAGTGTAAACTGAGGAAAAGAGATATTCCTATATGATGTATTATCACAGCAGTATGGTCTAGTAAAATTAATTCTTGGATAAACAGTCTTGAATATGAATCCCAGTGACTTTGAGTGCTGTATGATCATGGATAAATCATTTTGAGTCTCATTTATTTCATCTGTACAATGGAGATAAGGATGTTTGTGAGGATCAAATAAGGTAATATCTGTCCAAACACCTGCTGTGTTATGTAGGTTCAATGCATCAGTTTTCTTCTTCTCCTTTCTGTATATACATTAACATTGGAAAATAGACATAATCTTTGATTTTTAAAATATTTTCATAAGTCATTAAGAGAATTAAGTATGTGCTGTTTGTTTAACATATTAGCAACAGATATTTTGTTCAGTGAAAATTTCAAATTTGATTCCATAATATATAAGCAGATACTTTTCTCTAGATTCACAGAATAAACACAGGAAATATCACACAAATCTGATGACTGCCAAGGGCATGATTTTCCATAAACTGCCCCACTGACCTCTATCTGGATTCTTCTACCTAAAGGCACTGGAAACTCCACAGTAGACAATTGTTTCTACTTTTTTATGCTTCACTGTAGCATTTGGAAAATAACCTCAGAGAGCCCAGGCATTTGCAACCACAAAATTGTATAATGAAGATACTACTACAACCCCCAAAGCTCATGTGAAACTCCTAAGCAAGATAAGCTTACAAACTAAAATTATGATTATTAGGGAAAAAAATTATAAGCAATGTTATCAGATGCCAAACATTAAAAGGAGAATGTATACCTGAAGAAAATAGAGATAAGAGGATAATCACCAAAGGATATTCAGTAATATTTAATGTTCAAAAATAAAAATTAAATGGATTTTTTTCCAGTAAGAATAGGCCATTATATAAAGTGAAGAGGAAGATTTGAAAAAACAAAGTCTAGAAATGAAAATATAATTAATTGCTCAAACATCTGCATGAAAGAAGTTTCAAGTTGAAAAAATGAGGATTATGGGGAAGAGACAATGTTTCATATTAATGATATTTCATAAAATGGAATAGATGTAAACTTAAATGAATCCTCAAATTCAATAAAGGTCAACCAATGTGGAAAAAATAAAAGCAAGTCTACCAACTAGCTCTGAATGAAACTCAGAGGATCAATAGCCAAAAAGGTATCATAAAGGTTACTAAAGACAAAAGAACATTTACAAGATGACAATATTCACTGCAGACTTCTCATCACCAATAAACGTTAGAAGATAGTGGAATATTATCTTCAAAATGCTAGGCACATTTTCAAATACCAGGGAAAATATGATTCAAGAATTAAGGCAAAATATTTCCAGACATACAACTAGTTTCACCTAAACAAAAACTAAGAATGTCTTACCTATAGATTTTTGCTAAAATAATTCCTAAACAATATACTTGTGTAAAATAAAATGAAACTAGAAGGAAGGAGACAGCTATGTAAAGCTGTGTAAAATTGTTTTCTCTATGTAAATAAGAACATTTGTAAAAAAAGCTTATAATCCTAAAATTTGGTCAACGCCACCAAGGAAAACACAGAATACTAGGAGAATGCAGTATTTAACTGATCCTATGTAAAGAGAGATAAAACAAATAAAAGACTTATTACATATCCTATGTATTACAAATCCTATGTATTATGTATCCTATGTATTATATATCCTTAATACATATGCTATGCATTGCATATCCTATGTAAAGGGAGATGAAGCAAATATAAGACTTATTCTACATAATGTCAACAAATATAAGGGTTGTGCATAATGTGTTCAATATCAATTATTACCAATTATAATGTTTCTAGATAGCAAAAAAGTGCTAAATCTCTGAAATATGCATACGTGCATGACCTTTCCACGAAGAGGAGCAAAAAATACAAAAAAAAATCCACCTCAATGAATAAAAAGAAATGTCCATCTTCTAAATACATTTCCACTTGAGCTGAACATGTTATGACATCAAATACCAAGTATATGATCTTGATGTTTAACATTTTATATCCAAACTCTTGATGTTTAACATTTTATATAACAAACTCTTATCTTGGATACCTAATGAGCATCTCAAACATGCAATAGCCAAGTGAAAAATAAATGATCCACCCCCCATCTGCATAAATTGGCACCTACCAACATCTCCAGACGTTATTAAATTGCACTATCATTTACCTAAGTCAGAAACCTAGACATTCTTC